TAAAATCTACAACATCTCAAAGTGTGCTTAATGAGAGTGTGAGACCATTTGTCCAAAAGTTGAACTGGAATTATAAATTGATGTTTCCCCATTATAAAACTCTGAAGAACACTAGCTATAGAAAGAGAGAGTTATGGACTGATCTAATCAGAGTTTTGATTTGAATCCTGTTGAAATGGGCAGTCCACGCAAGGAAGTGGTCAATAATTTCTCATAGTTGATGTCAGAGACTGGTGGGCAGGTATGCCAAATATCTACAAGAAATAATTATTGATAAAGGGGGCAAAATCTGCTCTGAGGCCAAGAGCATACTTACATTTTCCACAATATACTATTACATCTATTGAAATTTTTGTTAAATAGTCAAAAAGGCAAATTATCATTGTGTTTTTATTTAGATACATTGTTTTTATTTTTAGGCACTGTTTAACCACTTGCCAATCGTATAACTTAGTTATGTGGCGGTACAGCGGCCTCCCTGTGCTGGATCACTTACCTAGTACGTGATCCACGCGCTCGCCCACCAGCCTGGTTATGCTGTGATTCATCACAGCAGATGCCAATCATCAGGCCACGGCCAATGATTGACCACTAGCACCATATGATCATCTCTGAGCTTCACCAAACACAGCTCTGTGAATGTAAACAACACAGAGCTGTGTTCAGTGATAGGAAATCTCATTGTTTGTTCATTGCTAAGCAGGGAATGAAAACAACTAGATCTTCAGTAAAAGCAGCACACAATATCCACATAAACACTTGTTAGGCGCACATTTAATGCCTTGATCACCCTAGACATTAACCCCTTCCTGCCCAGTGTCATTAGTCCAATGACAGTGCATATTATTAGCCCTGATGACTGTAATAATGTCACTGGTGATGTCAGTGGCAGTTAGTCAGTTCTTTCTAGCACCAGTGTCAGATTGCCCACTGCACAGTCCCGTTATAAGTCGCTGATCGCGGCCAGTACTAGTATAAACAAAATAAATAAAATAAAAATTCCAGAACGTATCTCATAGTTTGTAGACGCTATACCTTTTACACAAACCAATCAACATACACTTATTGTGATTTTTTTTTTTATACCAAAGACATGTAGCAGAATACATTTTGGCCACAATTTATTAAGAGATTTGATTTTTTTTTTTTTTTTTTTAAGGGATATGTTTTATAGCAGAAGGTAAAAAATATTGTTTGTTTGTTTTTTTTTATTGTCGGCCATTGTTTGTTTATATAATTAAAAATCAAAAATAAATAAAATAAAAATCAAAAAACCCAGAGGTGATCAAATACCACCAAAAGAAAGCTCTACAGTAATGGCCAAAAATATTGGCACCCCTGCATCTCTGTCAAACAATGCATTACTTCGCCCAGAAAATTGTTGTAGTTACAAAGGTCTAGGCATTCTCATGCTTATTTCTTTTTTTCTTTTGTTTGTATTGGTCTGACACAAAAAATGGAGAAACAAAAAAGCAAAAAATGGAGTGGACAAAATTATTGGCACCCTCAATTTAATATTTGGTAGCACAACCCTTGGAAAAAATAACTACAATCAATCACTTCCTGTAACCATAAATTAGTTTCTTACACCGCTCCACTGGAATTGTGGACAACACTTTTTTTCGCCAACTGCTCCAGGTCTTACAGATTGGAAGGGTTCCCAACTGCTGTTTTTTTTTTTTGTTTAATATTTTATACATTTTTCATTTCTATTCCATTCCAATATAAAAATTCAATGTCACTTATTCAAATATTTTCACCCAAAATACAACATACAAAATTACAAATACAAAACCTTCCCCCGCCCCCCCTCTCCCAATCATACTTTGTACTACGGACGGATGGTAGCTACAGGCTAGGGTTGCCACTTTATCCCTTTAAAACCAAACACATATTAATTACAAAGGTTCCGAGGATAATTCAGTGCACATAAGGCACTACGTGAGTTTAATTACCATCTTAATCAGCCACAGAACCTCTGTAATTAATATGTGTTTGGCTTTAAAGGAATGAGGTGGCAATCCTACTACAGATACAGCAACGTACAGGTATGTCAACCTTGCTGTACTAACACAGGGGGGCGCTGTGCTGCTCCCCACCCACGACCGGGTGAGGAGCAACGCAGCACCCCACTGTGTTAGTACAGCAAGAGTGACATACTCATATGTCGCTGTGCCTGTAGTAGGGAATGAAGATCCCCGGTGAACGGGACCCGGTATGCGATCACATAATCCCATTGTTTGCAAGCCTGTTATGAATCAGTCTGATTCATAACAGCTTTGATTCTCTTCCTGGTGAACTGTAATTGTCTCACAGCTCTCACATGATACATGGGGCCAATCACAGCTCTAGCCAATCACACAGATCACTATTATATTGAACTGTCATAAACTTAACTCATTCATGACAGTTCAAAGCAATCTGCTTTGCAGAGCAATGATCCTCATTGCTCATGCAATGTAAAGTGTAAAAAGAAAAAATCCCTGATCACCCGTCAAAGTAGTACAATGTTACTATGGTAAAATTGCACTACTTTAATAAAAGTATTAAAAAATAAAAAAAGTAAAAAAAGAAAATAAAAAATACTGTATTGAAAAATAAAAAAAATGTTTTTAAGGGTTTTTTTTTTTGTATAACCACTTGCCAACCACCTGCCCACATTGAGTGGGCCAGCAGCGGCCCTGGACAAACGACGTAACCTTACATCATATTCTATTTTGGATTGTGAACATGCCTGCGCCTTCCGCGGTCCAGGGAGAGAAGAGAGAACACTGCACTGCGAGTAAAAGCACTACATTTTACATGCACACATTAGATAACACATTTAACCCTTTGATCACCTCTATTAACCCTTTGATCCCCCGGTCACCCAGCCAGTGCCATTAGTACAGTGTCAGTATTTAGAATTTTACACTGATCACTGTATTACTGCCACTAACGACATCAGATAATATGAGGGTCTGTAAGCTCCCCTCCCAGCCAGGGTCAGCTAGCATTAGATTACCCACACACTATCGCATTCACACTATAGGTCGCTGATCACCGCCATTACTAGTATAGTGTTTGTACGGATCAAGATATTGATCACACACAGAACTATACTAGTGCCTTCTTTGTATAGTGTCCCCAAAAACGCAATGGTAGCAGGATCAGTCCTGTTCGATGCCAGCACTAGTGTTTAGCCCCTCCACTGTTTTTCAAGGGAAGATTTGTACCAATTAATTGTGGGCCAAAGCAATTTATACGCACAATACATCGCCACCCACCCAAATTCAGCTCTTACCAGAAAATTCACATAAAAACCTATCACTTTTTCTGATTTTTAAACTTTTTTGGGCCTAACCCTCAACAAAGAATGAATTGCAGTCATATTGGTCCACAGACCCAATTCATCATATAACTATGTTCCCTGCTGTTACATATACAGTATGCTCAACAAGGACCAGCAACATACTGGTACATCACTGGACTTTTGAGTGCTTATACCGGGATGATGCCTGCAGCTACAGGCATCATCCTGGTATCATTTTCTTCAGCTGGTGGTCGGCTTTCATGTAAAAGCAATCCTAGCAGCTACTTAGCTACTGGATTGCTTTTACAAGCAGCAGTAAGAAACGTCCCCCCCCCCCCCCTCCTGCCACCTTCCACGTCTTTCTTGGGCTTTCCCATCCCAAATCGAAATCCAAGAATGCAGTCGGCAGTTCTACTGGCTGACCATAGAGCTAATCGGAGACCAGAATAGCTCCAAACATCTCTATGGTCTAACAAAATGGAAACTACAAACATTTCATAATTTCCGTTTCACCATATATTAACAGCACCGTTTTTAAATTGGGAAAGCATCTGATCACACCGATCTTCATGTGATCAGATGCTTTAAGGACAGTGGAGAGATCTAGAGTCTAATAGACTCTAGATTTCTCAGAAAAGAATACCTGTCATTGCCTATTTCTATCACGGGGGATATTTACATTCCCTTTGATAACAATAAAAGAAAGGGACGGTGTAAAAAAAAAAAAAAAAAAAAAAAAAAAATCACCCATGCCCCATCCCCCTTCCCGTGCTCATACTCAAAGTCGAACGCATGTTTCGGTCCTGTGGCGGTATGTAAACAGAGATTGCACCATGCATGTGAGGTGTCACCACGTACCTCAGATTGAGGGCAGTAATTCTAGCACTAGACCTCCTGTGTAAATATAAAGTTTTGACCTGTAAAGGCTTTTAAAGCGTCACCAATCGATATTGAAAATTTACGTAGTTTGTCGCCATTGCACAGGCATGTGCAATTTTAAAGCATGTATTGTTTGGTACCTATCTATCTATTACCTATCTATCGGTATAAAATCATATTTTATGCTTTATCGAACAATTGGGCAATATATTGTGTTTTTGTACATTATGATTAAAAAAGTGTATTTTTTTCCAAAAAAATTTGCGTTTGAAAAATTGCCACACAAATACTGTGTGACATAAAAAATTGCAACACCCACCATTGTATTCTGTAGGGCCATTGCTTTAAAACAAATATATAGTGTTTGGGGGTTCAAAGTAATTTTTCTAGCAAAAAAATGTTTTTTCATGTAAACAAAAAGTGTCAGAAAAGGCTTGTGGTTAGAAAACTGGGTGATGTGTGCCAGTAGACATTATAACTTTCACACAAAGCAATTAATGTACATTTATTGGGATTTTTTCTACCAAAGACATGAAGCCAAATACATTTTGGCCTAAATTTATTCGATATTTTTTGTACCCGAAATTAGAAAATATCTTTTTTTTTTTTCTCAAAAATGTTGGTATATTTTTCATTCGTGTCACAAAAAAAAAACCCAGTAGTGATCAAATACCACCAAAGGAAAGCTCTATTCCTGTGAAAAAAGGGACATAAATTTAGTTTGGGTACAGCATTGCATGACCGCGCAATTACCATTTGAAATAGCGCAGTGCCGAATAGCCAAAAATGGCCTGGTCAGGAAGGGGGGTAAATCTTCCAGAGGGCAAGTGGCAGGGGCAGACTGACCATTTGGAAACTCGGGCACTGCCCGATGGCCCGGGGTCAGTAGGGGGCCCCTTGAGATGCCCCTGGTACCTTTTTCATAGGCTTTTTTGAGTTTGGGCAAGGACACAGGGGCCCCATGATCCCTATTGCCCGGGGGCCCCATGAGTTGTCAGTCCGCCCCTGGCAAGTGGTTAAAGTTTTACCAAACCCAGGACCCTGCACTCACTATATCTGGTCTCTCATAGCGCACAGAGCATGGAAATGCAATTTTAGTCATTATAAACTGCTAAATACCTTTTCTCATAAGCCGTTAGACTTCTATCACTGTCTAGCAGCATCACACTAAACTGAGCCTGTGCAGCTTGCCCCCCAGGCTCTGTTCTATCAGGAGATATTTAGGAAACACTGCAAGAAGGGGAGGATCAGAGACGACAGGATCAAACATCCTTTTTACACAATGCAGAGGATTAACCCCTTAGGTTCCACAGTAAATATAACAAGCATGCTTTACTGCATATACAGACTAATTTTACTGTTGTGGGTTTAGTAACACTTTTAAATATAACGCCTTTATCTGTAGGTTTGTTTTGATTGAAGATATAATAAATAAATTCACATACCTGTAGTTAATAACAGAGGGACTGAAATAATAGCTCATCTCTGGCAGAGACTTAGCAACCTGCCTTCCTGCTATAAGCATATATAGGGCTTATTCACATGGGTAGCCAGAGTGGGGAATAAAAACAGGCAATTTTCCCGCACACGGCTGCTCACCTAAATACATTTGCTCAGGGCTGTACAAATGCTGCAGCATATCACGATGGGCAGGTGTTTGGGTCAGCATTTTGAAGGTTAAATGGGTAGTGAGCAGGTGACATATTGTTTCCTCACCATGCAAATGCCCTCCGATTCAGGGAGGAGGCAATAATTGCCACGTGTGAACAACCCCATACCTTAACTGGCTCATTGATTTTATGAACCATATCCTTTGTCACTTTGCTGCTGCTGCATTTATCCTCTTAGTGCTCTTTCACACTTGCGGTCCCCTTGAAGTATGATTCATGTTTAGATCACTTTTCAAAGTGCATTTGACAGGAGATGAGGAGGCATATCACCTCCTCACTGCCTGACTTAACCCTGTAATTTCACACTACCATCACACACACACACACGTGTTGCACACCTTTGCACTCAATGTCAAACTCTGCACTCAGAGATAATAATGCCGTGGGCAGCAAGTAGAGCACCATGGCCGCAGCGTGTGTACAGCCCTGTCCAGCTGTATTGTTAGCATTCTGTGGGGGCAGCAGGGGGGTGTGGAGCCATTATGGCTTATTAATTTTGAGTATGGAACAATGCACTGTATTTTTAGCTAAATAAAGTAAATTATCGTATATAAGCTTCTTAGCATACCATCTATGCATAGTATGATTCGAATACTTTTACCTTTAGCTGGTAGACCTTTAAACAGTGGTGAAAATAATTATTTGATCCACTGCAGATTTTGTAAGTTTGCCCACTTACAAAGAAATGAAGAGACTATAATTTTTAGGTGTATTTTAGATGATAGAGACAGAATATCAACAAAAAATCCCCCCCAAAAAAAAAAAACCCCACACATGATGCAAATGTTATGAATTGAGTTGCAGTTCAGTGAGTAAAATAAGTATTTGATCCCCAAGCAAAACATGACTTAGTACTTGGTGGAGAAACCCTTGTTGGCAGGCACAGAGGTAAGATGTTTCTTGTAGTTGGTCACCAGGTTTGCACACATCTTTGGTCCACTCTTCTTTAAAGATCTTCCCTAAAAGGTTTCTGGGCTGTCACTTAGCAACTCAAAGTTTCGGCTTAAATGTTTTAGAGGATTAAGGTCTAGGCCACTCCATGACCTTAATGCGCTTCTTCTTGAGCCACTCCTTTATTGCCGTGGTGGTATGTTTTGGGTCTTTGTCATGCTGGAAGACCCATCCACGACCCATCTTCAGTGTTCTGGTGTCACGTACCTGACTGGAGGATGCAATAGAGAGAGGGCTCCCCTTACGGCTAAGTGCAGTGCGCCCCTGGAGGTGGAAACAAGAGGTGCAGTGCCCAAAAAAGCAGGGGTTGCCAGTGGTGTTGCTGCTTGGAAATGTCTGATGAGATGGAACCCATGGGTGCTCCAGTTGCAGGAGGGGTGTCTCCAGAGAACACGTGGATTCCGGAGGATGGGTAGTGTAGTCAGTAGCCCATAGCCAGGATCAATATATGGAACAGCAGACATGAGCAAGGTCAGGATCAAGCCGGGGTCATATACAGAGTAGCAGCAGACAGGAGCAAGGTCAGGATCAAGCCAGGATCATACACAGAACAGCAGACAGGAACAAGGTCAGAAGCAAGCCAGGATCATACACAGAGAAGCAGACAGGAACAAGGTCAGGAACAAGCTGGGTCGAAAACATGAAATCAGCAGGAAACTCAGGAACACAGGAACGGGAGGGGCTAACGATAATCCAGCAATCACTGAGCAGAGCTGCAGTCCTTATAAAGGCCACTGAGTGTCAGCAATTAGTGCACCCTGCGTGTGCTGGTGTGTTTTCGTGCACAGGAATGCTTTATTACGTGTCGCCCGCCTATGCACCTGCACACTTCTTTGCGCGAATTGGCGTGGCCATATTGCCCATTGGCGCATTTTGCCAGGCTTCCTCATCTTTTCCTCTGATATCTGGCTGAGGGAAGAAGGTTCTCATCCAAGAGTTTACAATACATGGACCTGTCCATTGGTCCCTCAATGCGGAAAAGTCAGCCTGTACCTTTAGCAGAGAAACAATGCCAAAGCATAATGTTTCCATCTCCGTGCTTGTCTGTAAGGATGGTGTTCTTAGGGTCACATTCAGCATTTTTCTTCCTCCAAACACGGTGAGTTGAGCTAATGCCAAAGAGCTCAACTTTGGTTGCATCTGACTCATTTAGATGTTCATTGGCAAACTTAAGACGGGCCTGTACATGTGCTTTCTTGAGGAGGGGACCTTGTGTGGGTGTTGCAGAATTTCAATCCATGGTGACGTATTGTGTTACCAATGGTTTGTTTGGTGACTGTGGTCCCAACTGCCTTCAGATCATTCACAAGCTCCTCTTGTGTAGTTCTGGGCTGTCCCTCACTTTCCTCATGATCATCCTTACCCCATGAGGCAAAATCTTGCATGGAGCCCCAGACCAAGGGTGATTGATGGATATTTTGCATTTATTCCCTTTGCGAGTTGTCTCATTTCTCCCCAAGCTTCTTGCTGATGGTCTTGTAGGCCATTCCAGCTTTGAGCAGGTCTACAATCTTGTCCCTGACATCCTTTGACATCTCACTATGGTCTTGCCCATGGTGATGGTGACGTTTGAATGGAAGATAGAGATTCTGTGGACAGGTGTCTTTTATACACATAATGAGTTGTTGTTAGGAGCACCTTCTTAAATTGACAGGACTAATCTGTGTACCACATGAGCACATAGCCAGTCTGTGGGAACCAGAATTATTGTTTGTTGGTAGGGGATCAAATACATAATTTACTCACTGAACTGCAACTCAATTTATAACATTTGTATTGTGTTTTTTTTTCTGAATTTATGGTTGATATTCTGTCTCTATGTTTTAAAATACACCTATGATAAAAATTAGAGACCCTTCATTTGTTTGTAAATGGGCAAACTTACAAAATCTTCAGGGGTAAAATAATTATCTTCCCCGCTGTATGGGTGATGGAATCTATCCTATATTGGATAACTCTGAGGGAAACTTTAATACATTGTACGAAATAACGTTTCTAACATTATCTATCAATATGAATGAATATTCACAGCTAAAATGGATAAATATGAAAACTCATTTTGTGCTGGTTTCATTGCCTGAAGGGCTCACTGACAGGCAATCCATAGTAGAAAGAACTGTAATGTCTAAAACAATCCACGCAGGTGCCAGAAAAAATGACTTTCTTAAAACAGTTTCAGTCACTGTACTATAAATCACATCTTTACATCCAACAGTAATTTAGGATTATTTTGTCTGTTCATTTCTCAGTGGAAACTTCCTGATGTACTAATATTTGTGCTTTATCTCCCACCAAGATTTTGTAATTCAGTTAAATAAATTGTGAAAAAGAGCTTTGCCCCTTGGCAGCAACAATTAAATGCTGTGTGTAATATGTCCTCCCACCTGCCGTAAGATTAGTACTATGTATCTTGATCACCGTCAGGCTGAACACAGACTTTTCTATATACTGAGAAATTTCATCAGTTCTTCAAAGAAATTGTGATTTTACATTTCAGTGTTTGCGCTTTATAAAGTGAAATTCCAGGAGATACAAAGATAAACGTGTCCATCTTGCGCATTCAGCAAATTGTCTTCGTATGTCATCTTTTTATCTCAAGCGAATCAGCATTGATAGGATTCATTTCACCAGAATTTCAGAGAAAAATCAGGATGTTTCGGTTTAATGTCACCATTTTGGCAAAATGCATTGACATCAATATGGAAAGGTGAAATTGAGAAGGTTTTTTTTTTATATTTTTAGGGTTCATTGAGCTTAGGGTTCACCTGGTTATGGAGTCTCCTTCCAACTATCCTGCTCTTAGTCCCAGTACAACAGCTCCTCCTTAGCCTAATTATTTTAAAAGAGTTCTATGGTCACAGTATACACTTTCATTTTTTAACATCAGCATTGTAATTGTAATACAAACAATAGTTATTATTGACAACCCAATATAAGTTTACTTGAAAAATCTCTTTTTTTATGTTGTGATCACTGCTTGTTATCTCTTTCCACACACTTCCTGGATTATGTACATGCTTTGCAGTTTCCCCTCTGCTATTTACTTCTGTGCAATTCCTTTTTATTAGTTTTTATGAAGACAAATATGACAACAAATTTGCCCATGCAGGGAGATGGAAAAAACACAGCAAATAAAAAAAATCAGTAAATCATGTCAACCAATCAGGTTTCACTTTTTTAGTTTTAAAAAACCATATATATATATATATATATATATACAGTTGCAAGAAAAAGTATGTGAACCCCTTGGGATTATGTGGAGTTTTGCATGAATTGGGCATAAAATGTGCTCTGAACGTCATCTAAGTCACAACAATAGAAGAACACAGTCTGCTGAACATAATACTACACAAACATTAGATGTTGCCATGGTTTAATTGCACATAACATGTAAACATTCACAGAGCAGGGAGGAAAAAGTATGTGAACCTTTGGACTTAATAACTGGTTGACCCTCCCTTTGGCAGCAATAACCTCAACCAAACATTTCCTGTAGTT